ATCTTTGTTTAATTGGAGAAAGTTCTGACACATTCAGTCATTGATTTGTTCAATGCACTTACTCAGTGTTTGAATTGGAGCATAGTCTCCTGGTGAAATTGTTACGTAAATTTGTGTGTCATCCGCATAGCTATGGTAACTTATTTTGTTGTTTTTCATTATCTGAGCCAGTGGTAGCATGTAGATGTTAAAGAGAAGAGGCCCCAAGATGGAGCCTTGAGGTACCCCACATGTCATATTTGTCAACTCAGATGTGTATTTACCTATAGAAACAAAGTTTTTTCTGTCCTTTAAGTAGGACTCAAACCAATTTAGAACTGTTGCCGAAAGTCCCACCCAGTTTTCTAGTCGGTCTAGTAATATGTTGTGGTCAACAGTGTCAAACGCAGCACTGAGATCTAATAATACTAACACTGAAGTTCTGCCACTGTCTGTGTTTAAGTGGATGTCATTGAAGACCTTTACAAGAGCAGTCTCAGTGCTGTGGTTTGGACGAAATCCTGACTGGAACACATCCAAAGAGTTATTTAAATGCAAGAAGTTACTCAACTGTTGAAAAACTACTTTTTCAATGATTTTACCTAGAAATGGCAGGTTTGATATGGGCCTGTTCATTACTGAAGCATCTAGATTATTCTTTTTTAAGAGCGGTTTAATGACTGCAGTTTTCAGGGCCTCTGGAAAAATACCTGAGTGAAGAGATGTGTTTACTATATGAAGTAGATCTGAGGCCATGCAAGGAAAAACATCTTTGAAAAATCCTGTTGGAATAATATCAAGGCAGCAGGAGGAGGATTTCAGAAGTTGAATAATGTCCTCTAAGTTTTTACCATTAATCTGATGGAATTGTGTCATGGTGTTTGAATTGATATTAGGTGGACATAGGGACAACACATTTGCTGTACCTGATGCAGAGACACTGACTGCTTGTCTAATTTTCTGAATTTTGTCAGTGAAGAAGGAGGCAAAATCATTGCATGCCCTGGTGGATAGAAATTCAGAGGCTACTGACACTGGGGGGTTAGTTAGTCTGTCGACGGTAGCAAACAAGGCACGTGCGTTGTTTTTGATTTTGGTAATGATGTCAGAGAAGAAAGACTGTCGTGCGTTTTTCAATTCCAAATTATAAAGGCCAAGTCTCTCTTTATAGATTTCAAAGTGAACCTGGAGATTTGTTTTTCGCCACCTACGTTCAGCTTTTCGACACTCTCTTTTTTCTGTTCTCACGGTCATGGCCTTTCTCCCTGGAGATATTTTCTTGCCAATCACTTCCTTTACCTTAGTTGGAGCAATGGTATCTATAACATTTTTAATTTTTGAATTAAAATGATCTACTAGCTCATTTACTGAGATGTTAGCAGGGGCAAGTGTGGATGAAAAATTATGAGTAAACATTTCCCTAGTATTTTCAGTTAAATATCGCTTTGTGGTTACCTCTTTCTGAACATTTTTGTGAACAGAAATAGAGCTCTCAAAGAAAACACAGGAATGATCAGAGAGTGCAACATCAGTCACCACAACCTCAGAGATATTCAGACCCTTTGAGATAATTAAGTCCAGAGTGTGCCCCTTATTGTGCGTGGGCTCCGCCACATTATGAGTCAGTCCATAGTTATCAAGAACACAAAACAGTTCTTTAGCCCCTCTGTCCTGGGGGTTGTCAACATGGATGTTAAAATCACCAACAATGACTAGACGGTCAAAGTCAATACACACTATAGACAGCAGTTCAGTAAAATCATCAAAAAAGCTTGCACAGTATTTGGGTGGTCTATAGATATTTAGGAACAGAGCTCGAGAGGAGCATTTCAGCTGAAGGGCCACATATTCAAAAGAAGCAAAGTCCCCATAAGATGTCTTCCTGCATTGAATGGAATCATTGAACAAAATAGCAACTCCACCCCCTTTCTTATGCATTCTTTCCTGACTCATAAAACTAAAGTTGGGAGGGTTTGATTCGATAAGAACAGCTGCACTGTTATTTTGTTCAATCCAAGTTTCCGTTAAAAACATAAAATCGAGATTGTGCTCAGTGATAAAATCATTGATTAAAAATGTTTTTCCTGCCAAAGACCTGACATTTAATAAAGCTAGTTTAAGTTTGTTAAATACACTATCAGTAAGATTTTTTTTGACAAGCTGTGGCTGACATGGAATCACTGCTAAATTTGATAACCTCACACAAACGTTTGAGCACTTCCTGTTTCTAAGCTGATTCACCGCTCTTAATCTATTACCTATCAACACAGATATCAGCAAAGTTACTGGCAGGCAGGGCCCCGGCATGTCCTGGAAAGAGTTGAGAGTGCCATACGCCCTTGAGCCTGGACCCAGCACATATCAGTAAGAGTTTGTTGCGTTTTGTACACACACATCCTTATCAGGCTTCGGAGACTGCAGATGCTTTCTTGAAGGGAGGGGAGGTGGTTGACGTAGGCACGGTGATGAAGACGGGGGAGATGGTGCACGTCTCTGCTTCGGTGATTTTGGTGGGCGTTGTGGAAGGGCGGGGGTAAAGGACATGCTGCCAGGGGGGGGGAGGTGGTTGACGTAGGCTTGTCTTCGGTGATTTTGGTGGGCGTCGTTGAGGGGCGGGGGTAAAGGACATGCTGCCAACCCTGCGTATCGCCTTCATGCGGTCATCGAACTCCAGGGGGGAGGGCGGGGGTGAAAGGGTTAGCGGAGAGTAGAGAGAGCTGGGGGATGAATGAAGAGTATCCTCAAAGGCGTTGACAGGGGGGGGTGTCGGGCAGTGGAGACTCCTCCATTTGTGTCATAGGTCTCCCATAATCAGAACATTCCTCAGGCGGGTGCAGTGATACTTCTTCAGGGTTTTCTGCGTGATGTGTTGTGTCTTTCTCCTGTTTTGATTCCTCTTGCCGCTTGTCCTTGGCAGAGGGAACAGATTGATGACGCAGGCAGTTGAATATGTTAGAGATAAACAATTTCACTCCTGACTTGTTCGGACAAACTCCATCTGCCTTAAGAAGATGTCTGCGATCCCAGAAAAAGTTAAAATTGTCAATAAAATGGACAGAATGGTCAGTGCAGGCAGTTGAAAGCCATGTGTTCAATGCAGTGAAGAAAGAGAACCGAATTTCTGAGTGCAACACGACTGCTATCAGTGAAAATATAGAGGGAACTAGATACCTTTCTGGTCGTTTTTTGTAAATATAAAGGCTATATTTATAGACACAATGATGACTACTGTGGAGTCTATTTTTATATAACATTACAAGACTGATTCTTATTATTACATTATATGCTTATTGTGCTCATGAGATTGCTATGAATATAAAATAAATAGACACAATCACTAATCCCAGGTTCTGATGGGTTAGATATACCAACGAAGGGAATAGTCAGAAGAAAGTTTTCAGCTTGCAATAGAAAGTAGCAGAAGCCAGATGCAGGCACTGTAGAAACAATGAGTTATTGAGGCTATGGCCTTGGCCGCCTGGGTTAGCTCCACACCCACGCATAGCTGGGAATCAGTATAACCAAGATTCCACTTTTCTGTAGAAGCTTCATCAAAACAAATTACGTATGATGGTGCCAGAGTAGGGAGGGACTTCCACAGGCCGGCCGAATGCTGATTGGAAGGTTGTGTTGCCAAGAGACTCTATCTGAGTCTGCGCACCAACCAAAGAGAACCAAGTCTAAACCATGGTATCTCTTCAGCTAGTCTTGACCAATCATAAATGTACGGGCAACGCCCTGTGTAATAAAATGTATTGTCGCACGAGGTTCGAGGCTCTTTACGGATTTGGTGGTTACAGATTACAGCTTTGCTGCCTGTGATTCCCAAAGACATGAGTCCTTGGCCAAGTAATATATATCTTTTGCTCTCTTTACAATAAATAGTTCAACTTAGAAGTTGTCTGTCTTTTCTGGAATTCTGAACCCAACACTACCTGCTAGCTAGACCGTTCCCAGTGCACAGAATCAAATCACAACAACTGGATCGCATACGCGGGATATTCATTACTTGTCTCTGGAGAATGGCAACATAACGTTATCCTAGCGGCTTGGCCCCTGTAATGCTAACATATTACATTGTGTATTCAATGCAACCGTATATTTTTAACCATAGACTGTTTATAGAACCTGCATCTATTTAGCTGGATAGACAACAGATATTTAGCTTTTAAGCTAACGTTTGCATGAGATGAACAAACAGCTAATAGTAGACTTGACTTACCGTTCTGTATGCAGTTTCAGATGGCGAACAAAGTTTGAGGTTGTTGCGTCTCCATCTGTGATGTGTGCGGCATAGGTTAAGCATTGTGCCGTTTGCTTTTTGTTTAAAACTGCGTAGTTTTTGTAGCCGAATGCGACTACCTTAGGTATCATTTTTCCGATAGTGCTGGGTCACGCAGCATCACGCAGCGTCATGGTCACGACTCTCTCCTGCAACCTGATTGGTTAATAGCTATATCATGGGGGAACTTGCCGAGGTTCAACGTTTTGGTTTGTTGCTTCGGTAAATATATTGCGAGGAACTTTTTTTTAATAAATTAAAGTATCAAGTCACCTCAAGTAAGAAGGCTCAAGTCCAAGTCAAGTCCCGAGTCATTGGTGTTCAAGTCCAAGTCGAGTCACAAGTGTTTTGTGGTTTTGTGATTTTGTCAAGTCGAGTCCAAAGTCATCAAATTGGTGACTCGATTCTGACTCGAGTCAAAGCCATGTGACTCGAGTCCACACCTTTGGTATTCACTCTGTCCTAAACGGCTTGTTGGAGCTCCTGCCCCCTGTACATGTGAAGTTGCTTCTTTTTAATTTGTGCTGTTAATAATGTATTTTCTAGATAGTAGGGCTGTCATTTTACAGTTTTACTTTTTAAAAGTGATTTAAATGTGCCACCCTGTCTGAGTCTGTGCCCCAGATTGGCCACCCCACCAACACATTTGTAGACCCGCCCCTGGGAAAGGGAACACCCCAAAAAGCATAATATGGCCTCATAACGTTTCTAAGATGGTACATTAAAAATAAAATACAAGTCCAGTGTTTCCCTGCTTTAATAATACTACAATTTCAAGAAATATGACCAACGAGAGTAGAGTGTTTGGCTTCCAAGAAAAATCAGATGACAGTTCAGACAATAATATCAGATTAGCAGTGAAAGACAGGGTGAGAGTTGGTAAGTGATTTAATCCAACAAGCTCTTTAATATGATGACAGCAGCTTCTCAACCCAAGGGATTGTAATCTATAAATATTAATCAAAATCATCTAACAATTATACATACACGTTGCACAGATTACAACACAGGAGTCAGTTTAAGTTGTTCTTTAACTAAAAGGATAAACTGAAGTAAAGAATTCCATCACCAAACAGTTCATACACTGTCCGTTTTCCAGAGTTTTAATGGCAGCCCAGTATGCCTGAATTGTGTTCAGCTGCCCTGCAACTTCTTCATAATAAGGCTGCTGGGTGGTGCGTTGGTGAATATTGTCCCCACAAAAACATGTGTCCCCCACAGAGAGTGTCGGATCACTCTGCAGCAGCCCAGGTCCTCGATCTGAAAGCCCAGGTGACGGTACCGGTCATCCGTCTCAAACAGTGTGTTGTTGGTGTACGAGCCAAAGAACTGAGGAGCACACAAATGTATCATAATGTTATTTGAACACATCATTCTCCATAAAAACAATTTTACTAAATGTATTTTTTCCAAATCTGTATTCATTTAGAAAAAGCTTCCCCAGGTCACTGTTCCAATATTTGACCTCACCATGCATGACAGTGTATGTGGGTCTGGGCTTGCCCTGCAAACCAAGTGGTTAACCACATGCTTTATCCCACCTTGTGAGGTATATAATAGTACTATGCTCAAAATACAGATCATGAATTGTAGAATGCCATAAACCCCTCTGTTTCAGCCGGATGCTGGATTTGCAGCCTAAAACAGCACAGCGTCTAGTCTTCTTGCAGAAAATAGGCAGACACACAGAGGTGCTGCAGGATTCAGGTAAGAGGGTGGGCGGGGGCTTACTGTGGTTTGTTTGTTGCTAATGCCGTACAACCTACAAAACACAAGATGACGTCAACTGTGAACCGAAAGTCACCAAATGTTCGACAGGCTTTCAAATCCTTGGATCAGGAGGGAAAGAGGGACGTTTTTTTGCTGAACCTTTCTGAGTCTCTTAATACACAGGGGAGACATTTACATTGTCCGGCAGTGGCTCAGTCAGTAGGGGCTTGGACTGGGAGCCAACCAGACCTAAATATGGAGTGTGGACTGCTACTTGGAGAGGTCCCAGTTCTCCTCCTGGGCCCTCCCGTGGTGCCCTTGAGCAAGGCAGGGCAGGGCAGAATGGGTTTTCCACATCTCAAATGAGAGAAGGCGTGATTCTCCAACCTTTGGTCGAAGTGTCTTTGGGCAAGACACTGAAGCCTAAGTTGCTTACTAGCATTGCCTTATTATATTATATGAGCTGAGAAGGACCAGTGCTGTTGCCAACAAATCGTGTTCTGTGGCGCGGCGCAATACAAAGACCACTTTGCTCCTGAGCAACACTAAGAAAAGGTATTACAAAGCAGCCCTGAGAAAACGTGTACTGTTGCATGCAGTTAGCATACATTTGGAACACGCTATTATACAGCTTTGCAACTTGAATTTGGACTCTCTTGCTCATATATACCCCATGCAAAGGATTGTGGGTCAGAATAGCCAGAATTTCACACTGCCATGCATACATGTTAGGGTTAAGAGTTCAGACTTGAGGAGATTCGGAACAGCATTCAGATTTGATTAGATGCTATCAGACCCCATTCGTAGATCAGTGTTATCTTACCGCCAGGCCAGAGGATGGCTCGATAAAGTCAGCCCAGAATCCTTCTCTCTGCAGAGCGTAGCAGATCTCCTTTGCTCCTTCAACAAACTGCAAAGTAGAAAAACTGCTTAGTCACTGATAACCCTTTTCCACCAAGGCGGTTGCAAACAAGTTTCCACTGTAAGGGCGCGGGACATTGGTTCAACTAGAGGCAAGAACTGAGAGCCGCATACCTCAGAGGCTGAGGCAGGATTTATGTAGCAACAACACTTCATTGTGAGTTCAACGAAGAGTAGAACGTTGTTAAAGAAGAGTAGCACCAAAATACAGAAAGTAGTCAATGGTATGCAGAGTTTCATACCATTACCTATGGTAGTGGTATGAAGTTAATGTTTTATAACTTTCATCATCGTCTACCATCGCCGGTCTGACTTGAGCCATGTAACTAAACAATAATTGTATTATGTCGGCATTTTTATTAGTAGAACATTAGACAGATGTTTGAAATATTGTCAATTCAATGAAACAGCAGACCACACTGATCCACCAGCTGTGTGTCCGGCAGTAGCTCAGTCAGTAGGGGCTTGGACTGTAGTGTTAATTTTGTTGACTAAAACTATGACGAAATATGTTTGTCAACGACCTTTTTTCCCATGACTAAGACGAGACGGCACCGACGTCAGTAAACAATAACTGTAACGATATCATGATATAATGCAATATCGTTGACGAAAAATTACGAGATGAAAACGTTGCCAAAATCTCTCTTTACTTTCGTTGATGAAAAAGGAGGAGACTAAATATTATCAAAGATAACGTTACATCTCTGATAGTCAGTTTTTTTCCCAGCAGTTCCATTTCCGGTGCTGCGGCTGGGCAGCAGTTGTGTGTCTGTGCTGCGCGCTGTACATTTGCATTACACCGAGCGGCACACTATGAACAGTCAGGAAGACTCGGATCTAACAAACCTTATTTAACAGAAAGGAAAATGGCAGCAACAGGGCTTGGGAGCAGTGGTCGCGTTAAGTTATAGAATATTCCCCCCCCCCCTCGCGACACGTGAGTGACGAGTTGTGTACAAACCCGACGGGTAATAATGGATTATGTTACGATACTGTCCGTCAAGATGATGGATAATGAAAAAGTCTAACGCCACCACTGCTTGGGAGAAAGAAACGAGGCACTATTTGGGCCCATTTTCTCTACAATGAGTCGGAGAAAAAAAGCGAATGTATTGGAAGGGAAGCAATGTGGCCATAAAACAGCTGGTAAAAACACCACAAACCTGACCAGATACTCTCTGCAAAGCTGCATTCTTAATAATTCAACCTGTGTTTTTCAACAAATAAGAATAAGATATAATCTTATTGTGAAATAAGTTTGACTAAAATGACAAATTATTGGTTTTGGCTAGACTAGTTTGACTGAAATGTTCAATATAATCTGATGACTAAAAAAGACTAAAATGTCAGTCTAAAAACAGTTTTCATTGACAAAAAGTAGACTAAAATAGTTAGTTTTCTTTGACTAAAACAAGACTAAAATGCTCAGACTTTTAGTCGACTAAAACTTGACTAAATAAAAACAGGATGAAGGTGACTAAATAGGACTACAACTAACAAGGACATTTGACACAGGACTAAGACCAAGACTAAATTAACACTATTGGACTGTGAGCCGTAGGGTCGCTGGTTCAACTCCCCGAACAGACTTAAAATATGGAGTGTGGACTGCTACTTGGAGAGGTCCCAGTTCACCTCCTTGAGCAAGGCGCAAGGCACAGGACAGTGGCCGGTTCCCAGAAGGGAGGGAGTGTGGAGCAAGGCACCGGACTCCCCAGCAGAGGTCACATTTTTGTGACAAATAAAGAGGATGTCAATCCTCTTCTATCAGCTTATCGATATTTCAGTGCTGGTGCCGGTATCAATTTAGTACTGGTTCCTCTTTACCAATGGAAAATGCTGCTGTACACACTCTAATGGGCCGTTCACATGAATCACATCTCAAAACGGACAATATCTTAAAGTGGACCTATCATGCTATATTTAAATGATATATTGTAGGGCCATACCTATATAAGGCATATTTATACGTTTCTGTTTTCAAAATACCAAACAGATCATGCATTTTAGCCATGCCTCATTTCGCTCTATGTGCTGTTTGCTGTCTACGGGTCTGATTCTGCTGACCACGCCCCCCTGCAGGAGAGGGGAGACGTGCTCTGATCAGCTGCTGGGCTGTCAGAAGAGGGGGAGAAAAAGAGATCTCCGTCCTCCGTGTTTTATTATATAGAGTCGTTATTCATTTGTTTTAAAGCTCAATAAATAACAAAGAAGACCTTTGAACGGCACTTTTCTAATTTTGTCCGGAAGATTTAAACTTTAACGGACATCTTGACCGGCGAAACAAACTGAAACTGAAAATCTGCCGCACGGTCCCCTCGTTCCTTGGAAGAGGTGGAGAGGTGGGTGTTTGTCATCTGCTGGTGGACTAACCGGAGAGAATTACAGTGCTTGCCTCGACGGGGAGGGATTGCATTGAATTAAAGCAGCGGGAGCAAACGCTTGCCTTGGGGAGGGAGGAAAAACAGCCACAGCGGAGAATAAACAGAAGGGTAACCATGGTAACTATGGGAGGGAAGTCTTTTTTGCTGCTTTTGTGGCAGACTACAGCACCACTTACAGGCCTGGCATATGTACTACATCGTCTCCAGCGCTTTCGAACGGAAATGGCCGTGGCTGTCTCCTCCTGATTGGTGGAGTTGGCCCAATAGCCGTAGTGCCACCGTCCTGACGTCAGGACAGTGTTCAAATCTGGATCAGTTTTTATCAGATCCGTTGCAGCCCCTTTTTTAGAGATTTGGGTATGGAGGAAAATAGAGAGGGTTGTGTTTTCTGACACTTGGTGAGTTCCCTGGAACACCGGGGACACATATTCATGTATAAAAGACGTACAAAAGTGCATTTTGCATGATAGGTCCCCTTTAATATAACTTTAAAAAACAACATCCTGCAAAAGTTCAGATAGGCTCAACCTGCCTCCCTCCCCTGAAAAGTCGACACAAAAAGTAGTCATCCAGAGCAAGGCGGACGATCCTCGCATCTCTGATGGGTACAGACCCTGAAGCCCCCTGGAACAAATCTGAGCCTGATATTGGGCTTTATAAAAAAAAACATTTGATTAATTGATTGGGATAATAGATATAGTGTGGTTAGATCAGTGAACAAAAAAAATGGAAATGGAAATCAAACTTCATATATCCATTTTTGGTTTTGCCTTTTAGGTTTAGAATGTATTAGAGAAGAAAGAACATAATCCAGTACATTTTTCAACACATGGCCCCAGTAGTCCAAGGTTGGATTCTGGCAATGTACACTCAGGAGTGTGTATACTGTGTGAATACTGAGTGTATACTGAGTGTATACTGAGTGTATACTGAGTGTATACTGTGTGTATACTGTCAGGGATGCAAACTCATCAGGTATGAAAAAGGTGACAAGGATCCGAGCCACCCGACCCCCCCCACCCCATGGAATATCGGCTTTAAAATTAGGAATAACAGAGGATTTTAGCAGTCAGAACAACTAAAGCAGCAGTGTTAATAATAACAGAAACGCCAAAGAGTCACATCTAAAGGCCCAGACACACCAGGCAGTCACCAGAGAACTCGCTTGACACCGACATCGACTGTTGCATCGGCGAGTTCTCCTGCGTCTTGGCCATGTGTCGCACTGGAACACACCGCAAAGACTTCAGCCGAGCACGTACGAACTGTGCATGCGCGAGTGGCAATAACTCTCCTTACCAGCAGGCGGCGGTAGTGTGTATTCGTCATTCAAAATAGGCAACAACCGGAAGACAGAGAAGAAGAACAGACTGATATAAACAAACAGCAAATAGCGTGTGCGTTCCATTTTCACTCTCGTCCATCGAAAACATGTTTTAGAATATAAAAATACATGAATGATGAAATGAGCACATAAAGTGCAGACATACTATAAAATCACAGTTAATAGACCTGCATCTGATGATCGCAGTGTTCTGGCGGGTGTGTAGTTTATTGAGTCAGCAATGTAGTAATGTAATAATGGCCACTTCTTGCTAAATTTACATTTCCATGTGATGCTTTTATCCGAGGCGACTCACAATAGGTAAATGAACAGCAGTAGACAGTATCTCATTTACTTAGACACTGTACTTAAGGACAATGTTGAGGTACTTGAGACTAATCCTGCAACTTTATACTGACAAATAAACCCATGAGATGAAAAAACCGGACTTGACCAAACAAATCACGGAGCTCTCAGCAGAGGACAGCCGGGGACGCTCCCGCCGATATCAGAGATGTCCCTGCTATGTGTGGGAGGTAAGAGAGGACATTTAAGGGCTATGTTTGATGTCTTTAAGTATCACCTGCTGGGGTTTAGCTGCTGTCCTGTGCCTTCTTAAATTGTTTGTTTACGTCCCTCACTTCCGTTTCGCTTCTCATTTGCTAGCTGAACAGCTGATCAGAGTGGTTTCTTGGCCCGATAGCTTGTGTCCGACACATGGCCGATTCAACATGTTGAATCGGCCATGTGTCGACCATGAAAGGCCAAATAAGGCGTGTCACGGCCTAGGGTTCGGGACACACCAAATTGACTTTGGGCGACAGGGCACGCTTTGTCGCCAGACAACCGAAGACGGCCGATATCGGCCTGGTGTGTCTGGGCCTTAATAGAAATATATAAAAGCATTTATTTTAATTGTGTAGCAGTCAGTTTATAATTTTGGCAGCACTGTTGAGCATTTTGAAAATGTATTTTCATGCCTCTGTGCAAGGCTTAGTCTTTCTATCTTTATAGCCAGTGGTGTAAAGTAACTAAGTTCATAAACTCAAGTACTATACTTGGGTACAATTTTGAGATACTTGTACTCTACTTAAGTATTTCAATGTTTTGCTACTTTGTACTTCTACTCCTCTACAATTCAGAGGTAAATGGTGTACTTTTACTCCACTCCATTTATTTCATACCTTTAGTCACTTTACAGATTTTGATGAATGATGTGAAATATAATCAAGTCTTAAATCAGACTTTAGTTCCACCTGGAGTAAATTCACAAGCTACCCTGCAGTATACAAAGTCATTCAAACTAGCTGCACCTTTACCAGCTTTGAGAACACTTTCATGATCAATCATTATAAAACATATCATATATATTATTCTGAAATGGACCAATCTGCACAATGACTACTTTTACTGTCGCTACTTTAACTATATTTTGATGATAATACTTTTCTACTTTTACTTGAGGAACATGAATTGACTTTTACTGTAACAGAATATTCCTACACTCTGGTACTTCTACTTTTACTCAAGTACAAGATCTGAGTACTTCTACTTTTACTCAAGTACAAGATCTGAGTACTTCTACTTTTACTCAAGTACAAGATCTGAGTACTTCTACTTTTACTCAAGTACAAGATCTGAGTACTTCTACTTTTACTCTAGTACAAGATCTGAGTACTTCTACTTTTACTCAAGTACTTATACCACCTCAGTTTATAGCCTATGAAAAAAACTATTAGAAAACGAAGGTTAAAGCTAATGTTAGCAGATAGTGACAAAGTATGCTAGTTAGCAGGTCTGTGCCACAGTGACTCCGGACCGCACAGTTACTGTTAATGAACGCACCGTAGCTGCTGAAGTTAGACCCTCATCCCGGAGCAGCAGAGTTCAGCCGACAGACAGGAAGACTCGAGCACACAGCTCACGCTTCATTATAATATATAAAAAAATAACACTATGCGCGTCATGATGGCACATAACAGCTAGCGGCCGCAGATTACCACCCCAGATTACCACCCCAGACCCCCCCCCATACCCCAAAAATATTTTTATTGCAGATCTACACGAATCACACAAACAACCTATTTTGGATTCAAATGGCGAATTTCGCCGAAAGGTGACAAGTTTGCATCCCTGACTGTGTATACTGTATGTATTTTTGTGTGTATACTATGTATATACTGTGTGTATACCCCGCCCAACCTGTTCTGACAAATATCAGGAAGAGGCTCACTTTGTTAAGGGTCTGCTCTCTTTCCTGTTCCACCTCTGCACTCCATGATGTCATATCGTTCTTGGTCTTCTGGGTCACTGTGACCACAATCATACCAGTGGATGGAGCCTCAGGAAACATGGACTGGAAATCTGTCATCACATTATTAGGAAACACATACACATATAACACCATGTAATGTAATGTAGAGAAATGTAATGTAACATATGACAGAAACAATCTTCTTATTAGCAATAATGTTTTGGCTCTCAGCAGTAAGAAAGAGAAAAACTAAACATTACAATTACAGAATCACTGTACCAGCTAATACACATTAAAGGAACTTAACTGTTTACTTCAGACAGCATCAAAACATTTGTTCTGCCTTTTTCTTAATAATCAGTTAACATAGATGCTCTGGATAGTTGAACACTTTAAATATATTATTGACATTTTAAACTGTATACCCCGGTTATCTAGGCTCTTGTTTTGTTTAATGTATACCCCGTTTATCTAGGCCCTTTTTGTTTTGTTTTATGTATACATGTCACACTGTAGGACTGCGGGAAACCATATTTCGATATTTCTGGATGTACAACACATGTAGAATTTTTGACAATAAAGCTGACTTTGACTTTGACTAGTTGTGTGAGGAGTGAATTATTTACCTTGTTTTAGTAGTTCAGGGCAGGACTGTATCGCACACTCCAGACTGGAACTGTCCAAGTACTGCTCCGCTCTACCAACACCAGACGGAGCTGTGTACTCTTTGTCCTGACACAAACACACACACACACACACACAAATGATAGTAAACTAACCTATTTTGTGGGTTTGCACACTTACTATATTTACAAACTGTTGGGAAAATACTGAATGTACTCTTCTAATATCAGAGTAGCACATGATAACAAAGGCCCTACGTAGCTGTGTACGTAACAGGATGTATGATTACCTAGAAGAGCGTCAGGACTGTTATAGGCATATGATAGCTATGTGACAACGATTAACATAATGACTCAGCCTCTATGGAGATAGACATATGACTGTCATGTTTATTGCTTACGCAGGCCTTAGCTAATCTGAACTAAGGTCAGAATACTGCTTTGAACCTGTATCCTGCATCTTGTGACTGTAACACTCTCTTGTATATAAGCATGTCAAGGACACTATTCTGGGAACTATTTGTCCAACGCAGCTTTGTGTGTGATGACTACTTCCATTCTTGAGAGGATAATAAATACATGTATCCTGATATTGAAGACCAAGCCGGTGACAAGTGATATTTCCCTAACAAAAACTATTTCTATTAATGTGGTGCTGTGCCCAGCTGTGTTCCATTGTGTGTGCACAGCGGCTGCTCTGCTTGTGTATCAACTATCCAGCAGCGACTCCATCAGTAAAAATAAATACAAAATGTGTTGTGTGAGATCAGCAGGACAATATAAGAAATAAAGGGTTTTTTTGTTTCCATACCACTTTTGTGTTTACGAGCACAACATCACGTCTTGTTGCACGGCATAATACAAATTTACAATAAAAACACATTTTAAACACCGAATTACTCTATATAACATTAAACTATCAACTTTTATCTGAAAAATAAAAAAAGGTGCCTGTTGTCCTAGCTTTAATCAGTTCGATATGCAGATATACAGGTCCTTGATACACACATTAGAAACAAAGCAACATTCTGCTGTCCACAGGCTGTCTCTTCATGTTAAACAGAGTGTTGATGGTGGGGAACAAAAACTAGGCCGACGGACAGCTCTAAATTGACCACATGCGATGGGCTAACCGATCGCAGTGTCTTCTATCTAGCATACCACGTGATGTCAATCTCACATATTGTCATTAAACGTTCATCCATTCCATATCCCTAATTTCAGTTTATCCACCTTAGTTTTGCACTAGGACCTTCTTTTAGATTAAGCAATCTGGTACTCTGGTGTATCTGTAACACACAAAAATGTTGCCTAAATAGAAAACTTTAATACAAAAAACTGTAGATTTTGCACAGCAAGCTTCTTTCTTTGAAACCTTGTATACAGGTACAAGAACTCTTTTAATATTAAACATTGTCAAAACGCATCAAGAGGGCTTTTTTCCTGTTTTATTGAACAATAAGAGTTTACAGTCATATATCCTGTGCCCTTCATTGTCTTGAGCAGTGATCCAATTGAGTGCAGAGAGAGAGTTCTAATGTTAGCAATAATACACTTACAGAGAACTCTCCGATGCATTGGGCCAGAATGAAGTCATGTCTCTCACTGCTGGACATTGACAACAGCAGGTCAGGGACCCCCTTGTGTGCCGGGCCCTTCCTCTGCTCTGCTAAGCCCTCCAGCTGCCAGACAAAGCCCACGTTACCAGGCAGCAGGAAGCGCTGGTCCTGGGGCCCGAAAGGCCCCATGCTCTCATCAGGCCACACTGTCTGCAGTCCTTCAGCATGGATGCACATTAACAGGAAAAAATTATTAATGAAAAAACCGGTATCCCAGATAACAAATGTTCTTACGCATTACAAAGCTTAGTTGAATATTCCATTGGTTGGTCAATTTGGACCGTAACAGAAAACCTCAATCAGTGCTGCTGTCATTTCAAGATGCGTTGCTGTCGCTGCAGTTTGGTCTTAGAGGAAGCAGTAGGATGATTTTCAAATCAAAAGTCTGAGTCAAATTGTTGATTTATTTAGTAAGCAGCAGTGCGGGATAATGTGCAGCGAGCCGAGGAAGAGACCTCACAGCTGTCTAACCCCGTCGGGCCTTTCCTGTTTCAAACATTCATGTTACCACTCAAACCACAACGATCTATGCTATAGAAGAATGAAAATAGATCATTATTCTAATTTTCTAATCAGCCTCAGCTAGCTCATGATATAGTACAACACAAAATAAACAAATACCCATGCTGGAGGGATGGATGGCTACATCAGAGCCCGAGGGTCCCGAGGGCCCCGCAGCAGAGGAGGCTCTGGCTGCACACACACGGTGCACCAACACATGGAGCCCCGGCAGGTAGGAGACCTGCGCTCTGCACAGCACCTGCACAAAACACTCTGGTCAACTCAGCCGTCTCTCGCGTTTGCTTGGTCAAATCAGCAGCTCTTATCGCGCCTTTACGGTAATCGCTGAGAAGCTTTTTTACAAGAGTAAATGCATGTTTTTTCTGCTTTATTTGCAATACAAATAATTTTTACAATAAGTTCTTAATAAAACTGACACTGTTGGACTCTGCTAACAACAATACAATGAAGTACTTTTACTGTGTACTCTTTCAGTTATTCTCTGTCAAACTCCCCTCCTGAGTACAAATTCAAGCCACTTCTGCTATATTTGATGAGGGCAACATTTTGATGAGGGACAAAATGATTTTTGGCCATAAGTTCTTAATAAAATTGGTACCGTTGGACTCAGTAATAGTTGCACTACTACCACAAGTACGATCAAGTACTTTTACAGTGTACTTTTTGAGTAATCCTCTGTCAAACTCAATACAATACAATAATTCATGTATTCTGCTATATTTGATGAGGGTCAAAAAAGATTTTTTGCAATAAGTTCTACCACAAGTACGATCAAGTATGTTTACAGTACACACACACACACACACACACACACACACACACACACACACACACACACACACACACACACACCACACACACACACACACACACACACACACACACACACACACACACACACACACACACACACACACACACACACACACACACACACACACACACACACACACACACACACACACACACACACTCACCCGGGCCATCCTGGGCTGCCTGTGTTCCTGCAGTGTTCTGGAGGTGATGTTTCTGTGGGTGGGGGAGACAAAGTTAGAACCTGAACGAAGACAGAGAAAGAACGTGTTCTCTACAAAGTGTGACTGTTGTATCTACAGGGATAAAAGCGTCTGACAAGTAACATGTAATGTAATAAGCATGTACCGCCCCACACCCTTACACTACAGTTACCCCTCTGTCTGTCTCGGAGCTCAGCAGAGTCAATCACAGTGTAGTGGGGGGGGGGGGGGGGGGGGGGGGGGGTAATACAGAGCGAATTCAGTCAGTCAAAGCCATCCATCTGCTATTCACCTTGAAGTCGCGCACGCGCTGTAGTGAAGGAGGTTCGTCTTCTTCTTCTTTGAGTGTAATTGGCAGCTCGCAACCAACGATTTAGTGCATTACCGCCACCTATTGGACTGAAAGTAACAAAAAAGTTAATATAAAACCGAACAACCACCATCTATCTCCATTATTTCAGTTGCCCTTATTAATTAAAGGTAGGGTAGGTAGGTAAGAATGGAGAAACCAGCTAGAATTTGAAACTACGCAGCCGAAAAAAATCTGCCCCTTCCTTCAGACTTCCTTACAGAGCCCCTCCTCTAGCCCAGCGCAACACCTTCGTCACACATGTTCGTTGCCACTTGTTTGTACCATTTTCAGGCGATTTGTAATCTGTTCTAGAAAAACTATGTGTTTTTTAGGATTTCAAGAAGCATATAGAACAAAGAATGGATGTATTTTATGAACATTTATCCATGCTGGAAGTAGATTTAGATGTTTTAGGAGTGAGATAGAGATTATTATCTAACATATGCATCCAATGAAGCACTGCATGAAGTCTGTTGATGATCAGAGGCTGTTGTTGGGGCTGCATAAACGTTTTTTTATTTTTGTTTTGTAGGCAGACCATGCGGGTCAGCCCGACACGCACGGACATACACTCTCTCTTGTCCTTTCTCTTTTGAGCGCTGCTCTTGTGCTTTGGTTTGCTGTACATTATAAATGCAAGCTATTACATTTGTTATAATGCTGCCGAACTTGCTGCTGCTAGCTACAGTACAGTGGTACAGGACAGGTTGATTAAACGGTTCGCTCACCACGCAAGGTATCACATGACATGAAAGCAGGGCCGGCTCTAGCCAATTTGATGCCCTAGGCGAGATTTTTGCTGGCGCCCCCCTCCCTCCCCTATAGAATATATAAAGAATAAATGAAAAAACTCTACAGAAGACAAATACACTACAAAAACAGAAACTTATTGACATAGGTAATATACATCAAAAAGGCTTCAGACTAGATCTAGGGGGTACAACTCTAAAACACCCATATGAAAAAGATCGGTTTACATTTTAATAATCAAATAAGTATGTGAACAAATCAATGCCAATAACAAATCAATGTAACTTATTTTGTTGTTGTTGTTCATTCATCTTATTTTACCTAGTTAATATTTATTTAGTAATGCACATTTTTATTTCTCCAGTTTTAAACGATATTTTTGGTTTACTGTCCTATAGTAGGCCTATACATTGAAATGATTCCAAACCTGTTTATCCCAATAATTATAAAGGAGTGCCTTGGAAATATGTGTTTACATAAATTGTGATCAAAACGTTTGAGACCCACTGAGATAACTTAGACTAAAGTTAACTATCTAAACACTGAGAGTCCTTTACCTCACTGAGCTGTAGTTATCAGCCTCCCAGTCTGTCAGGAGAGAGCTCCCCTCCACCTTTGTTGTAGAAACATCTTCTTCTTATAACAATGGCATAAAATATTATTAATATGTCAGGCAGTGGCGAGCCGTCAGGGCCCTCTAGGCCCTCTGTGAGGGCCTAAGATATTCTAAAAAATAATATTTGAAAATGTTAAAAAAAAAAAAAATTATTTTAAATATTATTTTTTATATATTTCTTTTGTTAAATTTTTCATTAGTTTTACCAAAATAACTTGATTTAATTGTATTTAAAATAACATTTCCAAAGAAATAAATCCTTCGAATCTGCCTGTTCAGTTTCTGTTGGAATGTGAAGGGTTAAATGCCGTCTCTGCGAGTTACTGTGAAGACGGGAGAGGTTAGTCAAATCATTCATCACCTCCTCCCTCCCTGACTCTCTGGACCCCCTGCAGTTTGCCTACAGAGCAAACAGGTCCACAGACGATGCCATAGCCCTCACCATCCACACTGCCCTCTCACACCTGGACCCGAAGAACAGGAACACATATGTGAGAATGCTGTTCATTGACTACAGTTCAGCATTCAATACCATTGTGCCCTCCAAGCTGGCCATCAAGCTCAGAGACCTCGGGCTCAACAGCGCCCTCTGTGACTGGATCCTGAACTTCTTGACGGGCAGACCCCAGGCAGTGCGGGTGGGAAACATCACATCCTCCACCCTGATTCTCAACACCGGAGCCCCTCAAGGCTGCATGCTCAGCCCTCTCCTCTACTCCCTGTTCACTCACGACTGTGTGGCCACACACATCTCCAACACCATCGTGATGTTTGCTGATGACACGACCGTCATCGGCCAGATCACAGACGACGACGAGACAGAGAGGAGGTCGAAAACCTGACATCTTGGTGCCAGGATAACAACCTCCATCTCAACGTCAGCAAAACAAAGGAGCTGATTGTGGATTACAGGAAGCAGCAGGGAGAGGGACACGCCCCCATCGCCATCAATGGGACTACGGTGGAGAGAGTCAGCAGCTTCAGGTTCCTTGGGGTCCACATCACTGAGGACCTGACATGGACTCTTCACACCACCACCATCACCAAGAAAGCTCGACAGCGGCTCTTCTTCCTCCGCAGGCTGAGGAGGTTCAAAATGGATTCCAGGATACTCTGCAACTTCTACAGGTGCACCATAGAGAGCATCCTGATTGGCTGCATCACGGCCTGGTACGGCAGCTGCACCGACCTCAATCGTAAGGCTTTACAGAGGGTGGTGAAAACTGCACAGCACATCACCAGGACGGAGCTGCCATCCATGGAGGACCTTTACTCCCAGCGGCTCAGGAAGAAATCACTACGGATTATCAAAGACCCCCATCACCCCAGCCACAATCATCATCTGCTACTCAGTAATATGTATCTAATATCTAATATATATCATTCCAATAACTTGTATATAGACTCGTACTGCACTATTCCACATGCTCACTTTATTTTATAACTATTTTTCTTTTTGTATTGCTCTTGCTATCTGTATTGTTATTATGTTGCATTGTTGGAGAAGCCTGTGACATAAGATTTTCAACAACATAATTACTCTGTAGCTATGTCAGTTTGACAATAAAGAACCTTGAACCTTGAACCTTGAACCTGTCATTGATGCGTTTTGCACCCCGGGCCGCTGTTTTGATATTCCGCTGAAGTATACGCTGTGACGTAATAACTCTTATTTTTTTTCGAGGGAAGGGGGGGGGGGGGTGGGTCAGAGGGCCTAGGTATAAAAGTCACGGCTTGCCACTGATGTCAGGTAGTAATAGATTTATTTATTTTCTTCTCAAGAGTGTACCAGAATGCGTAGTTTATGTTAGTATTTCAAAAAATCTCCTGGGGGAGTATCCCCCCAGACCCCCCTTCTGGGGTTGGGTTTTCAGCATGCGTGCCTTTTTATGTAATACAGTTCAGCTTTGATTCCATCATCTCATTAAAGGGATATAAGGGATATATGCACTGTACTTCACTTTAATTAATATTGTATGCTGAAAAGCGTAAAAATATATATTACAGCACGATTTTTTGTTGAATAGATTTGAGTGGTTCAAATTTCGGGTCACGATTAGAATGTAAAAAATGTGTTATCTGATCAATGAAAAGTTTAAATGTTGGGGGACGTTCTTCCAGAATAAAAGTATACATTTCTTGGCAAAATATGTAATTGTGATTAATATTCTGTAATGTTTGGGATTCAGTTTCAAGTTTGGCATGTCATTTAACAGGAAAAAACATGGATGTAGGCTAATTTCGATGTCTAAAACGGCTTTTGTGAGAGCATGAATCGAATCCCAGAAACGTTTCAAGAGATCACAATCCCAAAATAGATGCATGAATGTTTCGTCTTTTATTTTACATCTCGGACAGTTTGGAGAGTTTTCTTTGGAAATTGTATGCATCTTTATGGGTGTGAGGTAAAATGTGTTGATAAATTTGCTTCTTTGAATTTATTGCTTGTGAATGGAAAATGTATTCTTTCACAAATATTCAGCCAAGTAGTTTCATCTATCTGCATCCCTAAGTCCTTTTCCTATATCCTTTTTAAAGTTAGAAAGGATGACTGAGCTCTTTTAGAAAAAACTGCATTAAGTTGACTAATTTTACCTTTGATCGTGCTCGATGACATCAATATCTCCTCCTCTTCTAACAATCCCGATCTCAATTTATTGCCTTTGATAATTGATTGGATCACGTTCCTAATTTGCAGGTATCTGAAAAAATCCTTATTTGAAATATTCTGCTCTTAAATCATTAAATGATTTTAATGTTATATCTTTATGAAACAAATGTTTCAATTGATTGACAACAAATATTTGCTAAGATCAGGATTGTTCAAAATAGGAGAGAAGATGGAAATACCAGAGGTAACATTAACTTTTTTTGTACAGTCCCTCCAGGCTAAAAGTGTATTGACCACTGTGAAACATTTGTCCATATTTCTCACCTTATTGAAATCTTTAACAAATATAAGCGTTTCCACTGGCAACGGGTCAAATATATTGGCTTCTATCTGAACCCATAGTGAATCCTTTCTTCCCAGAGACCAAGATAGTACATTTCTTAATTGAGCTGACCAGAAGTAATGTTGAAAATTGGGAACAGCAAGAACCCCCAAGGTTTCTGGTTTCATAAGAGTAATTAACTTGATTCTTGGTTTTTTATTACACCAGATACATTTTGAGATATGTCTATTGAGAGATTTAAAATAATCAGCGGATAAATAACATGGTAACATTTGAAAAAGAAAATGACATCTCGGTAGAATATTCATTTTTATGACATTGATTCTTCCTAGCAGTGATATTGGTAATGTGGATCATTTAGATAAATCCTGTTTGATTTAGTCAATGAGCGGATTGTAATTCTCTTTAAACAGATTATCCAAATGTGGTGTTATATTTATTCCTAAGTATTTAAAGCCACCTGGTGACAAATGAAAAGAACAAGACTTTTCCAGATTTGCTGTTGGCGTCATATGTA